TGCAGCAGAAATGGGGGCACTTGTCCCACCTTCCAAACATCTCTTCTCCCTAACCCCCCCATTCAGCCCAAGAAATGCCTGCATGTCACGAAGCAGGGCCGATGGTCCCTCACCGTCATCACCTCCCTGTGAACATCAGGTGCTTCTGAAGCACGGAGGAGTGAAGCTGAGCTTTGCAGCCCTCCTTTTGTGCCCATCCCTCCACTCGCGGTGCTGTGGCTGCAGTTCTCAGCTCTCCCCCTCAGGGGAGGGTTTGAATTGCTCCAGCTGGTGCCTTCACACCAGATGCAGGGTTTTTTTCCGCCTCTTCCCTGACTGCCGACAAAACCCTTGTAATCAAAAGAATAACAAAGCATACAATGGACCCATCAGCTCCCTCAGCCAGCACTTCCGCCAGCTGCTCCTTTCTTTTAGGAGAAAATCTTCCATTACTCAACCCTTTCACGAGTTCATGCTTCTTTTTGGGGCCTGGATCCGGTGTTTCACCACGGGAGTGTTTCCTTTCGAGGTGCAGAGGGAAGGGCAGTTGCTAAACCAGAGCCAAGCAGCACCCTCGCTGCTGGGGTAATCAGGATACACGGATTTAAAAGCTCAGCCTTCTTGTCCCTGTGAGTGCAGCTTTCTCTGGCCTGGGCATCCACAGCTCCTCCACTTGCATCCACAGCTCCTCTATTTCACAGCACAGGATCATATCCCCGCTGACGATCAGTCCTGCTCAAGCCTCGGGCTCACTGCTGCCCCTTCTCTCCCCACTTGGGGTGCCAAAGGACCTGCAGGGCCTCCTGGTTGCATCTCTGCAGCTTCTGGAAAGAAGCTGCATGCTCCAAGCTGCTTCCAACCCCGTTGTGGGCTTCTCCAGGGTGTCTGCGCCGCCATCTCACACACTAGATGCGTGCTTGCTCTCAGCCCTGTTGTTTGTCACTAACGGAGTCCTTTGTGTCAGCTGTGGTGACTGGATTGCTTTACCAACGAAGTGTAGCTGCTTGACTGAGAGCAGAAGGCACTGTGTTGTTCCCAGGGTACGTGGCCAGGCTTTAGGTTCAACAGAGCCTTCCTTCCCTTGGCTTTGTCCATGCAGTTTTGCTAAAGCAGTGCTTAGAGCTGGAGAAGCTCCATCAAGGATTTCATAGGGAAATTTCTTTGTATGCAAATGAGATGGAGGTTGAACCTTCATTAGCCGCTGGCTGCTGTGACACCCTGTGTCACCCAGTGGTTTTCATAGAATCACAGAATGGTTTGGGTCAGAAGGGACCTTAAAGCTCACCCAGTTCCAGCCCCCTGCCATGGGCAGGAACCCCTTCCACTAGACCAGGTTGCTCCAAGCCCCATCCAACCTGGCCTTGAACACTGCCAGGGATGGGGCAGCCACAGCTTCTCTGGGCAGCCTGTGCCTCACCACCCTCACAGGGAAGAACTTCTTCCTCAGATCCCATCTCAATCTCCCTCCGTCAGTTTAAAGCCATTCCCCCTTGTCCTGTCCCTTCCTGCCCTTGTCAAAAGCCCCTCTCCAGGTTTCTTGTTGGCCCCTTTAGGCACTGGAAGCTGCTCTTAAGCTGTTCCTGGAGCCTCCTCTTCTCCAGGCTGAACAAGCCCAGTTCTCTCAGCCTGTCTCCATAGCAGAGGTGCTCCAGCCCTCGGAGCATCTTTGTGGCCACCCCAGCACTGCAGCCCCATCACTGTGGCAGGGACAAAGCTCAAGGACTGGCTGCAGCAGGAAGATAAATCCTGTGGCTCCCAGTCCCTCCTCTTGGGACAGAGAGAATCACATCCCTTGCAGGGACGTGGTGAGCCTGGGCCTGCTTCACGTGGGCACCAGAGGGAGAAGAGGAGGCAGTGTCACATCCAGCAACAGAAATAGATCAACTGGATGGAAAATGGCTCAGCTGTTTGAAAACGCTTTGTCGGGTATTTCTGGCCAAGGATCACACTTCCCTGCCTCCCTCTGTGAGATCCCAATTGACCTTTCTGCAATTAGTATTCCCCAGAGGATGAGGCTTCATTAGGAGAGTACCAACAAGGAGATGCAGAGCACATCTTGGTGGGATGCCACGGAGCATGGAACAGCACGTACACACCACCTCCTCCTGCTTGGGGTCACAGCTCCTACATCAGGACAGTTCCCTGCTGGGAAACCCCAGTGGATATTGTTCCCAGGATGAGCAGTGCTGCACAGAGAAATAGCGGTGGTGCTCCCAGAATGCCTGGACCAGCTGCTTCAGTAGTTGGATTTCCTTGGGAAAGCTGGAAGTGACTGCAGGAAGGCAGCTCCCCCCTGGTTTGGGGCCTGGACACAGGGGCTATCCCCAGAGAACAGGGTGCTGCCAGGGAACACTTGTGATGGAACAAGTGACTGTGCCACCTACCTCAATGCCACGGTCTGGCTTTGATCCCTCCGGTAACACTGGACCTTTCCTACCCTGTCCCACCGACCTCCTGGACATGAGGGTCTCCTCCCAGCCAGCACCAGCCCAGTGATGGTCTGATTTTTCAGCGTGTGCCCCTTTCCAAACATCACCCCATCCCCTTGAAGAGCCCACAGGTCCCTCTGGGTGGCCAGCACAGCTCATAATGGCTCTGCAGACACCAGGGCTGTGCTGTGGGGTGAGCAGCCTCCAGGAATTCCCTTCAGTGTAGTTGTGATCGTCAACAGAAGCACTAAGCCAGTGCAGACCCAGGGATCTGTGGTTTTAAGGGCATTAGTCAGTGCCTTAACCTCCTCTCCCCCCCCCCCCCCCCCCCAACCCTCTCCAGCTCTGGGCTGATGCCAGAAAAATAATTGGGAATCATCTCCCCACATCAGGAATTCATTCTGAACGGCAAAGGAAGAAGAACGCCAGTTTTGGCCTTTTCATGGGATTCGGAGCTGCGAAGCACAAACGAGCACTGACGTCCTCAAGATCCCCCCTTCACGGCCCCGCACTCCCTGGCCCTCCAAAACGGGGCCGGCGCTCGGCCTGGATCCCAGCACCGACCCACGTGTGCGCCCGGCACGTTGCGGGACGGCGGCGGCACAACTAGGGCATCCCAAAAAAGCCACCCGGGGCCGCGGCAGCGGGTGTCACACCCGGAGGCGGCCCAGAAACCGGCGGGAGGGGAAGTGTCTGTGTGACAACCGGCACAAACCCCCAGCGGCCGCCCTGAGAGCTGGCCTGGAAACGCTCCTCCTGTGCTGCGGCAGTGCCGAGCGCCGCCGGCATCGCCTGTCGGACGTCCGCGGGAGCGTTCGGGGGTCACCCGCACACCGGCATCATTAGGGTTGGAAGGGGCCTCTGGAGATCACCCAGTTCAAGGCAGGGCTACCCAGAGCAGGTTATACAGGAACGTGTCCAAGTGGGTTTGGAATGTCTCCAGACTCCACAACCCCACTGGGCAGCCTGTTCCAGTGCTCTGCCACCCGCAACGTAAAGAAGTTCTTCCTCATGTTGACGTGAAACTTCTTGTGCTTCGGTTTATGGCCATTGCTCCTCATCCTGTCACTGGGCACCACTGACAAGAGTCTGGCACCATCCTCCTGGCACCCACCTTTGAGATATTTATATGCAGTAGTAAGATCCCCTCTCAGACTGCTCTAGACTAAACAAGCCCAGCTCCTGCAATCTCTCTTCATAAAAGAGATGCTCCAAACCCCCAGTCATCCTTGTGGCCTCTGCTGGACCACCCCCACCCCCCCACCCCCCCACCCCCAGTAGCTTGTCTTTCATGTACTGAGGAGCCCTGGACTGGACACAGTACTCCAGATGTGGCCTCACCAGGATCGAGAGATGGGGGGGGGGGGGGGGCACCTGCAAAGACTCCTTCTTGATATCATACACGTGTGAATGCACCCAACATGTTTCTTGGTGCTTCTGGATGCTGAGTCTTGGATTTCTTGTGCCCCGACACACATGGAGGCAGCCAGGCTGTGTCCACGCTGCTCTCCCCAGGGCATAGCCTGGTATCTGCAGAGCCATTTGCAGAGCACTGGTCACCCAGAAGGACCTGCAGGCTCTTCCAGAGGACACAGTGATGTCCCAAAAGGACGTTTCCTCTGATTCCCTCCTAATACTCTGAAAAATCAGGCTGTCACCAGGCTCGTGCCAGCTGGGAGAAGTCCATCCCTAGGAGATTGGTGGGATGGGGTGGGAAAGGTCCAACATTGCCTCAGCGAGGCACAGGCAAACACTTCTCCCAGGACACACCATTTGATGCTAATTCCCTCTCAGAAAGTGCCAGTGGATGCTTATTCCCTTCTGGGACATGTTGGTGGATGCTCATTCCCAGCACAACCTGCCAGGTGCAGATCTTGGCTGCCAAGGCAGCAGCTGAGCTGGAATTTCCCCCAGCACTGGAGGGATGTCCGTCCCCGGGGCTGGCACACTCGGCATGGGGCAGAGGAGCAGAGGCCAAACTTCACTCTGCTCAGGGAAGTTCCCACCTGCAATTCCCCTTGGTTTTGGAGTATGCCCCTCTCAGAGCCCTGGGGCATGAAGCCCCCCAGCCACCTCTCCCCAGGGGATCCCTGCACCTGGAGTTACAGCAAAACACCCACAGGGATGGCGCCAGCAGCACAACACCCCATGGGACCCGGTGTGGTTCAGTGGTGGGACCAAAGGGCTGGACCCCTATAGGGGAAGGTTCACGGGCTCGAGGGCCGCCCCGTGTCCCCATCCAGAGCTCTGCAGGCTGCGGGGAGGGCAGCAAAATGCATGTGAGGGCATAGGGACGGCAAGGGGAGATGGTGGCCCCCGCTCCGCGTGGTGGCAACGGGGAGGGAACTGCTGCTGGGAGCCCTTGGGCCCTGCTTGGTCCCCACGGTCCCTTCCAATGACACCGAGCGCACCCGGAGCCCGCGGCTGGTGCTCCTGGGGGCTCCGCATGCCAGGGGTGATGCTCCCGGTGCCCGGGACCGACGCTCCGCTGCTCCCTCAACCGGTGCCCTCCCCAACCGGTGCCGACGCTCCGCCCCTTCCCACCGCCCATCGCGGTCCCGGTTCCGCCCTCGCCGTCCCCTTCCGGGCCCTCTTCGGCAGCCATCGAGGCGCTGGCGCCGGAGCTCTCCCGGGTGGCGGTGGTGCCCCGGGCAGAGATGCAGCGGGTAAGGCCGGGGCCGGGTATCCCGGGGTGGAGGTAGTGCCCCGGTCCCATTCCCGCACCCATTTCCGGTCGTGGAGGCAGCTCCTGCCCGTGGCTCCCGTTGACCCCGGGGCCGGGAGGGAGGAGCGGGCTGGGGGGAGGCGGTGTGTGCGCCGGGTCCCGGTGCTGCTGCGGGATCCCCGGGACCCCTCCTCTCGCCGTCTTGTTCTCAGGGTGCGGTGGCCTTCGAGGACGTGGCCGTGCACTTCTCCCCCGAGGAGTGGGGGCAGCTGATGCGGTGGCAGCGGCAGCTCTACTGGGAGGTGATGCTGGAGAACCGGGACCTGGTTGCCAGCCTGGGTAAGGATGAGCCCTGCACGGAGCTCATGGGGCCCCGGGACTGAGCTGGGGTTCCAGAGGCTTGGCTGGGGTCCGGGTCACAGCCTGACCTGCTGAGTCTATCCCCAGTGTGTGAGGAGTAACGGTTCCAGGTTCCCTGTCCCTGCTGCTCCCCATCCGGCTGCATCCCAGTTTGTTGTCACAGCCGGCATTAGCACCGGCAGCCCTCCCTGGACCTGCTGCTTCTGCAGCCGGCAGCCCCCCAGCACAGCCTCTGTGACAGTGACACTCCTGGGGTGGCTCAAGGGACACTGAAGGTCCTCTCTTCTGCACAGTCTCCGAGTCCAAGTTTGTCTGCAAAATGGAGGCTGAGGAGGAGTCGTATGTGGGGGACCCCTGCGGCAGAGGGGACGGGGGAGCTCCTGACACCTCTGGAACCTGTGAGTGAGCACTGGGACACTGGCATGGCCTGAGGCACTGGGAGGGGAAATTGGTGGTGCTGTAGCAAGGTGAGGTGGCCACCGAGACCAGCCCCTGCCGGGTGTCATCCTCGTCAGGGCATCCCGCCTCTGCCCCCTGGCCCAGTTGCCCCGTGGGCATTGCAGGGATGAGGGGAGGCTGCAGCAGGCAGGGGGACAGCGCTGTGGGCACTGTGCTGGGGTGTCCCCATGATGTGACTCCCTGTTCCCAACAGCTGCCTGGGACACGGCTGCTGCTGAGGAGCTGTCTGAGGAAGACAAACAGGGATGCTGGGTCCCGTGCACAGTGCAAGCCAGTGCGGCCAAGGTGTGGTACACACCACTCCGCTCCAGCTTGTGTGACACAGAGACCTGGGCCGGAGCCTCCCCCCAGGGGCTATTGGGGAGAGAGCAGGTGCTGGTGTCCGGGGCGCTTCTCATCTGTGGCATGTGTGGGCAGAGCTTCAAGGACGAGGCCCGGCTGCGCACACACCAGGGTGAGCACCTGCAGCCGGCACCCTCCTACCAGTGCAGGGCCTGCGGCAAAGTGTTCCGCCACCACCGCAGCCTCCTGACGCACAAGAAACATGGGGGCCGGCACCGGCACGTCTGCACCGAGTGCGGCAGCACCTTCTGCTTGAAAGGCGACCTGCTGCGACACCGGGCGAGCCACGGCAGCGAGAGCAGCTACTGCTGCCCGCTGTGTGGGGACAGCTTCCTCCACAAGCGCAAGCTGCAGGCGCACCTCAAGGAGCATGCCGCCGGCAATGCCTGCCACGAGTGCTCCGACTGCAAGAAGTGCTTCAAGGACGAGGCCAGCCTGAGCCGGCACCGAGCGGCACACGGCGAGGAGCGGCCATTCCGGTGCGGGCGCTGCGGGCGCAGGTTCAGCTGGCAGGAGAGCCTCATCATCCACCAGCGCAGCCACGTGCAGGAGCGCTCCCACAAGTGCCCCGTCTGCGGCCGCTGCTTCAGCCGCAGCGGGTACCTGCTGGCGCACCAGCGCGTGCACACGGCCGAGCGGCCCTTCACCTGCCCGCAGTGCGACAGGTCCTTCCGCAACAAGGCCAACCTCATCACCCACAAGAGGCTGCACCGCCGCTGCCAGACCCTCACCTGCCCCCAGTGCCACCTGGGCTTCAGGTCCAAGAGCAAGCTCCTGAGGCACCAGCGTGAGCATGCGGAGCGCGATGCCAGGAGCCTTTGCACAGGGGGTGAGCAGGCTGGCTGCCAGCAGTAGCTGTGGCTGCTATGGAGCTCAGGAGGAGTTTTATCCCGATGTGGAGGGTCCAGAGGAGCCCCTTCCTGCCCCCAGGGCCTGACTTCATTGATGCAAAGTGCCTTCCTCCCAGTGCCCATCCAGGATTTGTGATCCCTGTGCTCCACGCCCTTTTGGACATAGGGAAATCCCTCCAGAGCACCTCATTTTCTCTTCAGGCCTTGGAATATCCCTCCAGGGCACTTCCCAGTTCTCCCGGTCCCACCAGTGCCCTGCCCCTGTGTGGAGGGTGTCTTCTTGTCTACATTTAAAGTAGAAGCGAGCGATACAAGTGTGGGGTCTGGTCTCTTGTAGCAGCACAAAAGGGCCTCATCCTGCATCGTGGCGGCAGCTTATGTCCAGAGCCCTTCACTTCTGCTCTTGGTCTCCCCTTGGGGTGGGGCTGGGGGCTTGGAGGGCCAAATAGCACTAGACCCTGTGCCAGAACCTGCCATGGTTCCAAGGCTCTCAACGGTGAGGATATTGCCTGTGTTCAGAAGGCGGCCATGATCCAAGCACTGGGATAACCTGCCGGGCATACCTAGCATAGGGTGTCATGGGCCCCCTGGTAGCACCCAGTCCCTTTGCTGGTCGTGCCTGGGCTTTTGGAGTGCAGACCCAATCTGAGGGAGGAGGGTGATGCCCTGTGCTTCACCCCTGGGCTGGAAGGAGATTGCAGCGGTTGTGGCTGGAGGCTCTGGCTCTTTGTGCATCTCACCTCACTCCTCCCCAGCTTAGCTGGTGGCCATCACTGCACGGAAGGTGGCTACCCTGTGCTGCTGCTGCTCCATAGACTAATCACAGAACCATAGACTGGTTTGGGTTCGAAGGGACCTTAAAGCTCCATCCAGTTCCAACCCCCTGCCATGGGCAGGGACACCTTCCACTAGACCAGGTTGCTCCAAGCCCCGTCCAACCTGGCCTCGAACACTGCCAGGGATGGGGCAGCCACAGCTTCTCTGGGCAACCTGTGCCAGGGCCTCACCACCCTCACAGGGAAGAACTTCTTCCTCAGATCCAATCTAAACCTCTCCTCTGTCAATTTAAAGCCATTCCCCTTGTCCTGTTCCTACATGCCCTTGGCAAAAGCCCATGGCAAGTCAACAGCGGCAGTGGGCTATCCCTAAGGTCCCTTGAGTCGATTTACCCCTGCACTGTGGCCATGAAGAACATCCCTCAAGTAAAAGCTGCCATTTTAGAAAGCAGGTTTCCCAAACTCACCCATTGTGCTCTGCCATTGTCCCGCTGCTTGTCTGGGTGGGCACCCCAGGGCTTGTGAGCCCCAGCGTGGGGAGCATGGCTGGGTCTGGGACCCCGGGGTGCCAGCAATATCCGGCACAGGCTGCTGGGCCAGCAGCTCTTCCCTTGGGCACCGTTGCCACTGGCTCCCCAGTCCCAGGCAAGCGTAGGTGTGTTCTGAGTCCTGGAGCACCGTGATGTCCACAATTCCTCATAGGTTAATGAATCCCTTTGGCAGGAATGAAAGTGGAGGGACAGCAGAGGGGGAACAGCAACTCCCGAGGGGCCTTGGGCTAGGGGTGCAGGCAGTGGAGGTGCAGAGGTGGTGTTGCTCTCCTTTTGCTCATTTTCCTCCCCTGGTGCCAGGCCTTGCCCAGGCATTGATCAGGGGACCCGGAGCATCCATTCTCAAGGGCTCATGGATGAGGTGCAGTTGGGCTGGATGGTCGGTGAAGGCCCCCTCAGGCTGGAATTTTCCCTTCGCTTTCCCTTTTCGCCTTTCCCCTTTTTCCTTTCCCCTTCCTTTTTCTCTTTTCCCTTTTCCCTTTCCCTTTTGTTTCTCTTCCCCTTTCACTTCCCTGTCCCACTTGGGATAACATCACCCTACCTCACTCCCATCCCCTTCCCACTGCTGCACACATCTGGGGCAGATGAATAATGTTGTGCAGGTGGAGCAGGGAGGGGAATAAACACATCCGTGCAGAATTGGTGCTGTCATCACTGGTGCCCAGCGATGTGTCTCATTGCCAGCGGCTGGGATGGCTGAATCAAGCATTGCCATCCTGCAGGGAATCCAAATCTATCTAGGTGGTCTGCCCCTACCGCTTCCCTATGTCCTCATATCCCTACATCCCCGTGTCCCTCATCCCACTGCAATCCATCCCCCGTGCCTCCTCCATGACCCGACCTACTCAACATTCCCGTTCTGTCGCCAAGCCCAGTGCCACGGTGCTTGCCGGTGAGAGCTCCGGCGGCACTGACACCCCTCCTCCCCA